ATGTTGCACTGCTAGCAAAAAGGAATTTCCTTTTAAAATCATGATGAATCAGAGAATTGAACTTGTACATTTAATCAGGACAGTCTTGTGTGACTGGTGCTGAAGATACTGATAGCAATACATAGAGAAGAGAGTTTGTTCCAAATTTTGCTTCCATTCCTTGCTGTAAGTGAGAAATGGTAGAAACTAAAGCTATTTTAGAGTCTGAAATTGCTGCATCTACAAATCCCAGAAATAAAAACAATATAGACCTTGCTTTGTGGGATGATTTTTTTCCCCTAATGATGTTGTTATAGGAGCGAAAGAAGGACGAGTGTTTGTCAGCATCGTAGTGGCCCGTTGAAGGTTTGTGCCCAAAATTTCTGGATAGTAAATAAGCAAGGTTCGCCTGTCAGGGGAAGCTAATGGTGAAAATGATCGAGGGAGTATATTCCCTATTGGCTTCGTAGAGCATTTTTGTTTTTAAGTGAGTCAGTACTAAATTGTTTAATTCTTCGATTTTCTGTGGAAGGATTTAGTGATGGGTACAACTCAAATATAATTGATTAATATGAGAACAGTTCAGTTAATTAACATGAGAACAGAGATGGTGTGTTTAAACTGAAGACATGATTTTGATTTAATTCATGAATTGTAAACACAGAATAATGAAGAACATCGGTTTTATTGGAAGTTCATTTTGCAACACATCATTGCAGTATTTATAATAATCAGTGAGTGCAGGAAATGGAGTGTTTGGGTCCCCAGAAAACGGAAATTTTGAGGGTTTACCTGAACTTGTTGCATCGTTTGATCTGTTTTTGACAGATCATGTCTCAAACATGGTAACACAGGAAAGGACAACTCATTGTGTATGTTTAGAACAATGTATCAAGAATGAACAAACTTGGTGGCCTAGTGGCAGGAAACTGCACTGCAATCCCAGAGGTGTGCAGTTCAAATCCACCAGATGCTCTGCTGAAGGAGGAGGAACAATCGCTTCCTGTACCAGTCAGATCCAATTTGATGATACACACATAAAATAAATAAATAAAAATTTTTTAAAAAAATTTAAAAAAAAAAAATGAACAAATTTAAGAGAGTCATAAGGGGACTCTGGTGCCCTAGTGGAAAAGGACTGCAATGTCAATCCAAAGGTAGGCAGTTTGAATCTTCCAGCTACTCCATGGGAGAAAGGCGGACAGTCTCCTGCTTTGTGATTTATCATCTTTTTCTGAAAACTTGCTGGAGGGTCAGATATGAGTCAGTTTCGACTCATAACAACCACAGTAAGTGGTAATGTTTACTTAAATACTTTCAGTTTGTTATTATAGCATGTGTAGTTTCCAATCCTGATCTTTCTCATACAGGTAGCTAAATGCTATTTTAAGATGTGTATTTCCAACAAATGGAAAACTGACCCAAGGATTTAGCACCTTTACTAGCTTAAAAAGGTAGCAGCTGAAGGGGTGCCTTGAAGAAATTGCAAATCAGTTACTTGACTGTTTATGTAAAGTTGATTTTTCTTTTTTCTTGTGTACTGTTAGCTGGTACAGGAGGAGATACCCCTCCTTCTCCAGCAAAGCATCTAGTGGATTCGAACTGCACGCCTTCGGGATTGCAGCACAGCTTCTTGCCACTAGGTCACCAGAGACCCCTGGTTATGTAAAGTTTTTAAAATGAAAATGAAAAAATTTAAAATGTAGAGATCATTTCTATGACAAACCTGCCTGTATGTCAGGGCATTACTATTATGTGAAAAACAAAACCAACAAAAACTTAGAGTGTAATGAATGTACCATTTTCTTGTGCTGTGTGTCCAGGTCGTCTTGGCTGATATATCACAGTAGATTGCTGTCTCGAAAGCAGGCAATTTGGAAATTTAAGAACAATTATTTTAACAACCATATAAAATAATTTAATTTTATAATGTATCCCTTTTTAAAACATTTTATTTTATTAATTTTAATGAACATTTACAGAGATTTTGGATTTCCATTCATTGCCGCACTGGTGTTTATGTAATTTAAAAGAAGATTTTGAAAACATAGCAAAACAAATAGTGATTATAATGGAACCTAATAACATGAAATCCTTTATTTAACAATAATAAAAATACTCCAAAAAAACAACAAATAGTGATTATGAAGCAGTCACCATTGCAGAAGCACCTGTGTACCAGGTAAATGAGGAAGCACTCCAGAAGTGTCTGTGAGTGCCCAGGGTTAGTTTCATATAACCACACATCACATCATCATAAGACACTTCAATCTTGCAAGAAGAGAAGGGTGAGAATATATGAATTTGTTTCAGATAGACTTTCCTTCTTAAACAATGTGGATATACCTGTCACGAATGCATGAAGGCATCCAAGGAATTAGTGCAGATTTATCCCGAAGGCTTAAATACAAACCTTTATTGAGAAGTATGACATTCTTACATGAGAACTAAGTTTACAGATTCAGGAAAGACAGGTTTTACTTGTGTTGGCATTGTGATTCCGTAAGAGAAGATAAAAGCTGCGTTTTCCCAGTGTTGAAATGGCTTTGTGTGTATTGCTAACTTTTTTTAAAAAATTGTGACTATAACAAAAGTTTACAGAAAGGTTGGGGTTTCATTCGTTCATTGATTCACATTTTCCTCCCTCCCTCTTTTCCCCCCACATCGACTTGCCTTTGTAATGCACCTCTTGTTCCACGCTATTAATTGTCATCCATATGTCTAATCATAAATTCTTTTCTGACAGTCCTGTTTGTCTTTTCCAGTGCAGTGTTTGTTATCTATCCACTCTTTTCCGATTCTCTCCAATCCCCATTTCAACCCTGTTTTATACCAGTGGTGTTAAACATTACTTGTCTTTTTGTAACTAAGATATTTCACTCAGCATAATGTCTTCCAGACATTGTTTTTTACAAGTGTGTTGTGTTTGACAAGGTCAGTGTTTTTCAGTATTCCATTGTCTGAATGTACTAGTTTTTCTCTCCATTCGTTTGCTGATGGGCACTTGGGTTGTTTCCATCTCTTTTGTGAATAACACAGCAACAAACATGGGTGTGTGTACATCTGTTCTTGTCATGGCTCTGGTTTCTTTAGGGTATATTCCCAGTAATGGGATTACTGGGTCAAATAGCATTTCTGTATCCAATTTTTTTAGAACCCCAGGCTTCCTTCTGTAGTGGTTGTACCATTTCACATTCCCACCAGTAGTGAATGAGAGTTCCAGTCTCGCCACATCCTTGTCAGCATTTGTTTTTTGCTGCCATATTGAACTTCACTATGTTGCAGTGGGTATCACTAGCTTTAATTATCATAAACTACACAACATAATGCTTATTTTGATCCCTGAGGAGACTGAACCACTCTTATCATACAACAGTGATTCAAGAAAGTCTCAATGCATTATCCTTACTGTATGCAAGTAGATCTTGTCTGGGCATCCTAATTCTGATGCAATCATTGGAGAATTTGTGAGAACAACACACGCGCGCGCGCGCGCGCACACACACACACACACACACACACACACACACACACACACACACACACTCTGTTATGTGCCATCGGGCTGGCTCTGACTTACAGTGACCCTGTGCACAGCAGAGCTGGAACCCTGTCCTCTCCTCTGTCAGTCTCTGTTGTGCTGGACACTTTTGCATTGCTGTGGCCGCTGTATCAAACCGTCTTCTTGCGGGCCTTCCTCCTCTTTGCTGACCCTTCACTTTTCCAAGCAGATACCTCTCACCGGAGACTGGCCGCTTCTTGATAACATGCCCAGTATCTGTGAGGTGAAGTCTCACCGGGCTCATTTCTATGGGACATTCTGTCTGCACTTCTTGTATGTGTGTGCACACATGTAACACTTGTCCTGTTAGAATACGTGCACTAAAGGAGGGTGGACCACATGCCTTTCTTCAGTGCTGCCGTCAGTATGACATTTTTAGTGACTGTGTGATATGTGATCTTAGAAATAGACCATCATTCCCTCTGCCCCTGAGGAGGTAATTTCCAGTGCTTTGTTATCATAAACAACACACATCCATCAAACCCCTGGCAGCCCCTCTTTGCCCACATGCTTGGCTGTTTCCCTCAGAGGGATTCCTTCGGGAACTCCTGGAGGATGAGGAGGCCTAGAATTCTTCGTGGGGCGGGAGCTTCCGGTGCTAATGGTCAGTTCAGAGGGTTGGTGTTTTTTTGATCAGCTGAGGGCACCTAAACCTAACACGCCAACCTGTCTGGCCTCCTGACTTCATCTCATGCTGTTCATGGTGACCACACACTCCTGCATCCTGCTGCCCTCTGCATCCTTCAGGTTCAAGTGTGACTCCTCCTTTTACCTGCCCTTGGTTCCCCTCGTGTGTGATTTCTCCAGCCCCAAAGACCCTCTCTGCTACATAAGACGTTTTTAAAGGAAGTTTAATATATTCTTGGATCCTCCACCCTTCCCACCTCCTGCCTTTTTGAAAGTCCTTTCTTTTTTATAGAGGACCAAGCAGCATATCACAGCCCTGGAGACTGTGCCTTATTCATTGTTGCAACCAGCACGGTAGCTCTTGTGCTTTGAATGCACAGTAAGTGTTGTTTGAGTGTTGAAATCCACCAACTGATGCATAGTGGAAAGATGGACAGCCTCCTCTATTGGAAGTTGCAGCCTTAGAAACTCCATGGCTGGAGGGTTGCTATGGGTTGGAACTGAGCCAGTAGCAATGAGTTTGAGTAAATCTGTCTCACTTAGAACCCTAGGTACCAGCCAGCAGTGAGTGGCCAGCCCTTTCCTCACTGCCTTATCTGTGCCATGGCTTTATGTCCACTCATAGCATCAGCAAATGGCTGAGCACACAGTGACCAGGGCTAGAGACCTGCCCTCAGTCCCCAGGCACAATGTGAGCTGCCCTACTTAGATGGGTGGCTGCACCAGTGTGGAGAGGGAGGAGGTGAACTAGGCCCCCTCTCGCGGTGGCCTTTCCTCCTACTTCCTCACTGTTTCACCCTCTCGCTCCACAGGTCTCGGGTCCTGAGGCTGCCGGCGGACTATGGGTACAACGGCCAGCACAGCACAGCAGACGGTCTCGGCAGGCACCCCCTTTGAAGGCCTTCAAGGTGGTGGCATGATGGATGGGCGGCACTCCCTCAGCGTCCACTCCTTCCAGACGTCGGGTTTGCACAACAGCAAGGCCAAATCCATCATCCCCAACAAGGTGGCCCCTGTTGTGATCACGTGAGTAGTGAGGGGAACTTGACCTGACCTTGGGGCTTAGAGTCCCTGGAAGACGGGGCTGAGGAGAACTTCCTGGAGTTGAGGTTTTAGAGAACACTTAACATTTACAAGTGCTTTCAGTTTCGAAGATGAAGAAATTGAGGCCCAGAGAGGTTAGAGCGTTTGTCTGGAGCCACACAGCAAGTGTGTAGCCAGAGCTGAGTTTCTGTGAGTCTCTAATCCCAGGCTCCTTACTGTGTGCAGAGAATCAGCAACTGTGGAGAGGAAGGAACGGGCTGGAGGAGGTATTTATGAAAATAAGCTTTAGCCGGACTTTTTGAAGGGAAGTTTATGTACTTAAATGTGTAAAATTTAGATCCTCCCCCTCCCCAGTAATTATGGCTTGGAACTGAGGTTAGCACCAGGCAGCTTAAGGGCCTTAGATTGAAAAAGCTGGAAGCTGCTGGGCTGAGTATCCTAATGAGGTCCTTGAGGGACATGCCCTGGGAGGCTCAGCGCTGGTGGTGCTGACAGCCCCTGAAGAGAGGGACCCACATGCATGGTGTGTGTCTTGTGGAAGCAGTGCCAGGATGGGGACGACAGGAGGACAAGTGTAGGACAGGATGAGGGCAGGAACACTGGACACCATCTCCTTTGAGCAAGGCGTGTACTTCCCATCACATCTGCTCCCCTGAGCCCCCTGCTTTTGGGCCCTTCTGGGACAGAAGGAAGGAAGCAGACACGATGAGCTCAGAATTAAATGTCTCCACATGTAGACAGTTGGCAAGAGTCTGTCTCTTGGCTGGGGCCTCCAGTGTAACAGGAAAATGGTAACCATCAGAAATTACTCTGGTCCTGATAAGGGGAGGGAGTGAGATGTTACATAATAGTGACTTGAGCCAGAGTCTCTGAAATGGCAGGGAGGAGCTCTGGTGGTGCAGTGGCCAAGTCCCCAGCTGCTGGGCAAGAGGCTGGGGGTTTGGACGACCCAGCAGCTGTACAGGAGAAAGATCTGGCAATCTGTCCCTCAAAAGATTATAGCCTAGAAAATTCTTTGGGACGTGCCACTCATCATGAGTTGAAATCAGTTCATTAGCACCCAACAGCAGAAATGGCAGATGACACACCAAGTTGGGGAGTTGAGGGCGGCATACGGAGACTCGTGTTGTGGGCCTCTTCTTGTTTGTGACTAAGGGATATCCTTATTGGTGTAAGTAGGGATGACATTGCAGATATTTAACCAAGTGATGTCACTCAAGGGAACCCTGGGTAAAGTAAACACTTGGCTGCTGGCCACAAGGTCACAGTTACTCCTTAGAAGAAAGAGGTGACAGTCCGCTTCTATATAGATTGCAGATTTGAAAACCGTGTGGGGCAGGTCTAGTCTGTCCTTTAAGGGAGCTGTGAGGCAGAAGCAGCTCAGTGGCAGTAGGTTTGGTTTGGTGTTTCGGTTAGCCGCCAACTAGCTCTGCAAATTCAGCCAACAATTCTTGCTGACTGGAGTCAGCTGGGAGTGCAGGATTCCTTGGGTTGTGAAGTGTTTTAACTGGAAATGACCTTAACCAGTAGCTACGGAGTCAGTTCAAGTCATGGCAACACCGTATGTGTCAGAGTAGAAATGTGCCTCATAAGGTTTTCGGTAGCTGGTTTTTCTTAAGATTGGCAAGCCTGCTCTCTGAGGTACCTCTTGGTGAACCCAAACCTCCAACCTTTGTGTTAGCAGCCCAGCGTGTTAACTATTTGCACGACCCAGCCATTTCTGAAGTTATCTTAAAACTCAGCTATGTGGAGGTTGACAAGTAACTGTCTGTGGGCCAAGTCTGACCCACTATCTGTTTTCACAAATAAAGTTTTATTGGAACAGAGTCACTTCTATTCATTTACATATTGTTGTGGTTACTTCCATGGTAGAGCTGAGTGGTTTCAATAGAGAGCGTATGACCGATAATCTAAAATATTTACCCTTTTGCCCTTTTACAGAAATGCCTTGTTAACCTTTGATCTAATGCAACTTCCTCATTTTATACATTAAAAACCTCAGTTTTGTGGTGGTTGAGGGATATATCTACCTATAAGTCACATGATGTGGGAGCTCTGATGGCTTAGTGGTAAGAAGCTGAGCTGTGATCCCAAAGGCACACGGTTCGAATACACTAGCTGCTCTGTGGGAAAAGGATGGGCACTCTCCTCCCGTGTGATTAATTGCCTTTGAAAACCCAGCAGAGGGCCAGCTATGGGTCCTTTCCAACTCAGTGGCACACAAGAAGTATTCAAAGAAAGTACAGGGAAAGGGTATATAGGTTCGATGTTGTAAGGTGCCCTGCATAAGACAGAAGGAAACCCTGCTGAACCTGGGCCATTCTCACAGTCTCTGCTGTGCTTAGAGAATAAAACGTGTATTAATTTGATTATATCATAGCTTATAATTTCTTCCCCCTCAATGTATTTTTGTAGTTGGTTTTCTTACATAGTTTGTACACATTGTGTTTCACATTATATATTTTTAAATTTTATTTTAATGAAAGTTTACAGAGACTTTGGATTTCCATTCATCATTGTTGCACTTTTCTCCCTGTGTTTCACATTATTCTTCATGCATATTGTACTTCATACAATAATTTTCATGCATTATGTTTTATAAAATTAATCACCGTTGGACTTTGCCCATCCTTATCCTGTCTTTTCTCCCTGATCCGTCCCATTTCTTTTCCCCTCCCTCTACTCACCAAACTCTGCAGTCCTGTGGTTTTACCTCTCCCCATCCTCAGCCCTCTCCCCCTTGAATTTCCCATACATATTTTACTAGTTATTCTTCTATTTTTTCAATAATGGTCTAATGCAGTATTTGTCCTTATGAGACCCTGTTAGTTCACTCAGCATGATGCTCTCCATCCTCTCCCAAGTTACGTAGTATTTTTCAAAATCGTTTCTCCTAAGTGCTGCATAGTATTCCTTTGTGTGAATGTACTACGTTATCTCAATCCGTTTGGTTGTGGTTAGACATTTGGGCTGTTTCCAGGTGCTTGTGATGGTGAATAATGCTGTTATGCACATTGGTGTACAAATCTCTGTTTGTGTCTCAGTTCTAATTTCCTTGGGATATATTCCTAGTAGTGGACTAGTGGGGTCATGTGGAGTTTCTAGGTTGAACTTTTAAAGGAAATACCAAACTGTCTTCCAGAGTGGTTGTACCATTTTACAGTACCACCAAACAGTGTATGAGGCTTTGCACCTCCCCACATCCTCTCCAACATTTATTGCTTGCTGCACTACTAAACTTTGCCACTGCTACTGGGGTGATGTGGTATCTCATTGTGGTTTGATTTGCATCTCTCTTATTGCCAGTGATTTTGAGCATTTCTTTATGTGTCTGTTGGCCACCTGAATGTCTTCCTCTGTGAAAAGTCTTTCCATGTGTTTTGCCTATTTTGTAATTAAATTTTCAGTCTTTTTCTTCTGGAGGTCCGGGAGTATTCTGTAAACTTTGTTATGAGACCTTTGTCTGAGATACTATTGCCAAATGTTTTTTCCCAGTCTGTAGGCTTCCTTTTCACCTCGTTGGAAAAAGTTTTGATGAGCACAGAGATTTAATCTTTAGAAAGTCCCATTCATCAGTTTTATTCTCTCCAGATTGTGTGTTTCTGGCTGTATTTGTCAGTCTCTTTATATACCATAGATTAGGCCTTCTAAGTTTGGACCCAGTTTATCTCTTATGAACTTTATGGTTTTGGACATTATTCCTAGGTCTGTGATCCACCTTGAGTTGATTTTTGTTTATGGTGTGAGATGTGGATCTTGTTTCAGCTTTCTGCACGTAGCAGTACAATTTTGCCAGCACTACTTGTTGAAGAGGGGATTGTTTCCCCATTTGATAGGTTTTATTTCCTTGTCAAATATTAGTTGACTGTAGATTAGATGGTTTAATTTTTGGGTTCTTGAGTCTGTTTAGCAAGACACAATAAAAGACCTAAATAAATGGAAAAATATTCCCTGTTCATGGGTAGAAAGACCCAATATTGTGCAAATGACAATCCTAGCGAAAGCAGTATCCATGTTCAATGCAATCTCAATAGAGATCCTGTATTCATTTTTCAAGGATATAAAAAGGGAAATTGTCAAGTTTATTTAGAGAGGAATGTTGTTGTTGTTGTATGCCATTAAGTTGCCTGTGATTCATAGCAACCTGATGTACAACAACTTTGAAGGCTGCCCTGTCCTGAGCCAGTCTCACTGACTCCGATACACCTACTCTCATTGCTCAAGTTACTGTATCATTCCATCTCATCCAGGTCTTCCTCTCCTGTGCTGTTCCCTTCACCCTTCCGAGCATGATATCCTTCTCCAGGGATTGGTCCCTCCTGGCCATGTGTTCAAAATATGTAAGACAGAGCTTCAAAATCCTAGCCTTCAAGGAGAAACTTGGTTTCACCCTCTGCAAGACATACTTATTTTTCTGCCAATCCGTAGTATGTTTTAGATTCTTCTCCAGCACCACAACTCAAAGCCATCAATTTTTCTTCTGTCATCCTTAGTCATTATCTAGCTCTCTGATGCATTGCAAATAATTGTGAAGACCATGGCCTGGATCAGGCACACCTTAGTCTCTAGGCGGACATCGTTGCTTCTCAATACTCTGGAAAGGTCCCTGACAGCAGATTTTCCCAATATAATTCATCTTTTGATTTTTTGACTGCTACTACCAAGAGTGTTGATTGTGGCGCCAAGCAAGCTGTAACTGTTAATAACCTCAATTTCTTCTCTATCCATCATGGTGCTGCCAATTGGCCCAGTGGTGAGAATATTTGTCTTCTTGATGTTGACTTTCAATTCATATTGAAGACCTACAATCTGTGACCTTCTGAAGCAAGCACTTCAAGTCCTCCTCAGTTTCAGCAAGCAAGGTTGTGTTATTCGCATAATGTGGGTTATTGAGGAGTCTTCCTCCAATCCTGATGTCATATTCCACCTCATAAAGCCCTGCCTCCTGAATGATCTGTTCTGCATATAGATTGAATAGATATGGAGACAAGACACATCCCTGGTGCACTCCTTTCTTGATTTTGAACCAAGCAGCATTTCCCCCTACTCTGTTCTGAGGACTGCTTTGTGGTCCAAGTATAGGTTTTGCATAAGAACAGTCATTAACCACTCTACTTAAGGTTAACCACAATTTGTTGTGATCTGTAGTCAAAGCCTTTGCACAATGAAGCACCCGAATAAGCAAGGCACTTCTGAAAAACAAAAATGAGGTGGGAGGCATAGCACTCCTTGACTTCAAAACCTACTGAACAGAGGTAACAACCAAAATAGCATGGTACTGGTAAAATGACAGGCAAATAGACCAATGGAACAGTTTATATATTCTTTATGGCAAAATAAACTTTTACAAATTTTACAATACAAGAGACAGACTAGTAGGAAGAATTTATGTTATATATACTTAACATGGTTCGAGACCACAAGTCTCGAAGGATGGGCAATCTCCTGTGCCCTGCTGGAGCGTCAGCTATGGATTGGTTGATGAGATGATGACAGAGGAGCGAGCTGGAAGGAGGCTGGTTTGAAAGTATTTTTTGGTCACAGGTTTTCAAAGGAAGCTTATATTTTGGATGCCTTTCAGTAGACTGACTAAGAGGACCAAACGTGAGATCCTAAGCTCCAGGACAAGCTGTGTGTAACTCACTGTACGTCTTGAGTGCACAAGCCCCATTTGAGTGTTTGAACCTTCTGGTTTGGCAGCTTATAGGAATCTGGAGTTTCTTGTTTTAGGGTTTTTTTATTTATTAAAAAAATTTTCTACTAGTTTATTTACAAAATTTGAATACATTGTTCTTAAGAATAGATTCTTTGAATTTCCCTCACCCTGCCCCCATCCATTTGTACACCCCCATGATTCATCTCCCCCTCCCCCTGCACATCCTCATCTCTCTGCTTCTGAAGTCTGGAGTTTTATCTGTAGACTGTTTGAAACAGTCTGCTATGGTGGGAGAGCTATTGCTGAGAATCCTGTTTGAGTTGATAACAGCCCCAGCATATTTAACTCTTACAGCAGATCAGTTGTTCTGTGCCAGTGAGTTGGCATTGACTCCTAGCTGACTCTAGCAGGTTTGCAGAGACCATAAATCACCTGAGATGAGCTTGCCCATCTTTTTCCCACAGAGCTGGTGGATTCGAACTGCCTGCCTCTGGGTTGACAGTATCCCTCCTTCCCCACTTGGCCACCAGAGCTCCCTGCAATAGTTCTAGGAGGTAGGTATCACAGGAGACTGTGTTGCAGAGAGGTTAAGTGACTTTTCCAAAGGCAGAGTGTTATGTAAGCAAAACAGTTGGGGTTCGTGCCCCAGACGCCTGGCTCCACCTTCCTATGCTGGGAAATTACTGTGTGGGAAGTGTTCTCAGATACAGTCTAATGGAGGCAACAACTCGCTAGACAACAGTGTATTTGTCAGGGTACCAGTTCTTCAAGTGAACGAATTACCATCCAGTCTCTGACTGTGTGTGTGTTAGAATTGTTAGTGGCTGTGATCTTTCTGAAGTAGATCACCAGGCCGTTTTTCTGAGGAGGTAACTCTGGGGAATGAAAATATGAAAGTACTACAAACAGGACAGGAGCGCAGTGGTGTCATGTGAACATATTGGGCTGCTAACCAAAAGGTTGGTGGTTCGAATCTACCAGCTGCTCCATGGGAAAAAAAGTGGATAGACTCCTGCTGTAAAGGTTTGCAGTCTCTGAAACCCAGTGGAGGGTCCTTATGGATCATAATAAACTTGAGAGCAGTGGGTTAAATAGGACAGAATCGCATCTCTCTCATATAAAAGTCCAGGGGAAGGTCCCAGCAGCTATGGCTGCTTTTTGATTATCAGAGACCCCGCCTATAGCTTCCTCATGGTTCCGCTGTCATCAACATGTGACTTTCATCTTGTAAATTTTACGTCTCACAATGGTGTCTAGATTTTAACCTGGGAGGGAACACGGAAAGGGGAGCACGTATCTTCTTTTTAAGGGATTATCTCAGCAAGTGGATCTATCATAGCTTGACCAGAAGTTAATCGTCACAACCCCCTCTTGTTGCATGGAATTCTAGGAATTGTAGTCTCAAACTGGGTAGACCAGTTGCTGTTGTGTGCTGTTGAGTCAGACTTGACTCATCGCTAATCCTCTGGTGGGTTTCAGATGCTCTCCTGTGGTGTCCTGTGGAGCAGCTGGTGGATTCGAACAGCCTGCCTTTCAGTTAGTGCACCATCTTACCGCTAGACCACCAGAGCTTCCCAGGAAACAGGCCTAGTTTGTGGGTCCTTTTGCAAAGGAGTGCTGTGGCAAGTAGTTCAGTGCTCAGTCGCTCACAGAAAACTCCGTTGTTCACCCCACCAGCTGCTCCATGGAAGAAAGACATGGCTATCAACTTCTGTAAAGATGACCGCTTTGAACCTGATGAGCTGTCTGACATGTTCTATAGGATCACTTTAAATTGGAATTGAATTCATGGCATGATTGTTACTTATTTCTCCCCTTATTGTTTGGGGAAAGTAGGGGGGTGGTTATTGGGGACCAATGGGCAGTCTCTGCATACAGGTCAGCTGTGTGGATGGAGATGAGTGACCCTTTTTGGGGTAGAAGGGCAGGGTCAAGGGGCTGCCTGACTCGGCCTCCATCTACCCTTACAGGTACAACTGCAAAGAGGAGTTCCAGATCCATGATGAGCTGCTCAAGGCCCATTACACGCTGGGCCGGCTCTCGGATGCTACCCCAGAGCACTACCTGGTGCAGGTAGATCAGGGCCTGCGGTCGGACCCTTCCGCTCCTCTGGCCTCTCCCCACCCTCTCCAGAACTCCCCCTCGTGGGTCTCTCCATCTCCTCTGTCCTGTTCTCCCCAGCTCCCTCTGTCTCTGCACTATCCCCTCACCCTTCTTAATGGACCAGTGGGCCTCACTCTTCCCTGTGTCTTTGGGGTCTTGATCCCAAGTCCTCTCATTGTAGGGTTCCCCAGGAACCTGCCTCAGGGAGCCCCTGCATGTTTGTTCCTGTCTGTGCACTGCCTGGCCCCAGCAGGCCCACCCCTTCTCCTCCAGAAACTCCCAAGGGGATTGTGACATCCACCCTCCCGTCACCCTGGGACCCCAGCCTCTCCTTCCCTCGGGCTGGCAATCTCCTTCCTTCCGTTGTGGTGGTGTTTTTTTTGTTGTTGTTGTTTTTTTAGGGACACACTTGTTTGGCTTAGCGAGTTTGTTTTGTTTTGGAGACTTTTTGGGGGACACTTTAAAGCCCCTAGAGCCATGAGGCCAGTGGTTTTCAGCCTATCTTGTTAGTTGCTAGAGTCCCAGAGCCTGGGCTGGAGTCAATAGTTGCTCGATAAATATTCAGTGAATGAAAGATTTGAAGGACAGTCGTGATGGTGTGTCCCGCTGGCTGGGAGTCGCTGGCGCTGCTGGTTCTTCTGGAAGAACTGGTCCCTCTTTCTGTCGCATCAGGCGCTGGAGATAAGGCTCCGGCTGGAGGTGGGGCTTGGCTCACATGGCCTCTGTGCTCTTTTTTTTGTGACCCAGAATTAACTTTTTTGGTTTGCTGCCCTCGTTTGCTCTGTAATCATAGTGGCCCCAGCCTGGGCAGGGTAGAGAACCTCAGCCTCAGAACTCTCCCTAAGGACAGGGCTGGGCCAACTTGCCACTGGCTTATTCCTGGTGCCCCAGCCATGACTCCTCACTCTGACCCCTTTCTCACGAGTGCCCCTTGGGGTGAGTGACATTTGCCTTCCCTCGGGGTGGGTGGTGGTTTTTGGGGCCACCCTAGAGCCAGCAATGCTTTCCTACTCTCTTCTGTGGGGCTGGCTCTTCCATAGGAGATGCCACCTCCTACATGAAGCCTTCTCAGATTTCCCCTCAGGAAGCATTTTCCTTCCTTTCCCTTCACTCTGGGACACTCTCCCACAGGTCACTGGCAGTCACGTTTTTGTTTCTCTGAGATAGCAAGCAGGTGGCTTGAAAGAAGGGCTATGCCCCCATCACCCCACCTCTCCACCTGCCCTCCTCCTGGCCTGTTGACCATGCCCCTGGGGCCCCTTGAATAATGACCTCTTCTCCCTGCCAGGGCCGCTACTTCATGGTGCGGGACGCTACCGAGAAGATGGACGTGCTGGGCACCACGGGCGCCTGTGGGGCCCCCAACTTCCGGCAGGCTCGGGGCGGGCTTGCTGTGTTCGGCATGGGACAGCCCAGCCTCTTAGGGTTCAGGCGGGTCCTCCAGACGTTGCAGAAGGATGGACACAAGGTAAATACAGCCTGTCTGCCAGGGTTTTCCTTGGAGCTGGGAAGAAGAAAGGCCTTGTGTGTGCAGGGAGGGTGGGCCATGACCTTGGATGCTGAGATACTCACTGTAGATGGCATGACTGGAGATTCTGGGTGACTGTTGATTGCATTGTCCCGTGAGGACACTAGAGTCCCTGAGGTCAGTCCCTTGTAGAGTTCAGTCTGAAAGCCTCAGGTGAAATGAGGAGGGGACAGGAGGAGCTAGGTCTGAAGAGAGAGCCTATTGTTTGTTGTTGTGTGCCATCAAGTTGATTCGGGCTTTAGCTGACCCTCGGTAGGTTTTCAGAGGCAGTTAGTTGCACAGGAGATTTCCCCATCCTTCTCTCACGGAGCAGCTGATAGATTCAAACCACATGCCTTCGGAATTGCAGCACAGCTTGCCAGTGGGCCACAGAGCTCCCTTAGGTAAAACTTAAAAGTGCCCACCTGTTCCAGGCTTCAGCCAGGATCCATCTGACATCAGCTGCTATCTCTGGTGCCATGGCTTCTTCTAAATCTTTCTGGAACTTTTGGCAGTTCCTTTTCTATGTACTGTTCTAGCCATTTTTGAATTATCTTTAGCAGCATTTTACTTGGGTGTGATATTAATGATAGTTTCCACATTCGGGTGGATCCTAGCTAAAAGTAAATAACACCAGAAGAATGTCTATTTATGCTTCATTGATTTTGCAAAGGCATTTGACTGTATGGATCGTAACAAGTTATGGCTAACATTGAGAAGAATGGGAACTCCAGAGCACTGAATTGTGTTCGTGTGAAACCTATACCTAGACCAGGAGGTTGTTGTGTGAACAGAACAAGGCAACACTACATGGTTTAAAATTAAGAAAGGAGAGTGTCAGGGTTGTATTCTCTCTCCATACCTATTCAGTCTGTATGCTGAACAAATTATTTGAGAACCTGGACTCTGAAAAAGAATGTGGCATCAAAATTAGAGGAACTCATCAATAACCTGCATTATACAGATGACACAACCTTGCTTGTTGAAAGTGAAGAGGACTTGAAGCACTTGTTACAGAAGATCAAAGAATACAGCCTTTAATACAGGTTGCATCTCAACATCAAGAAAACAAAGATTCTTACTACTGGACCAGTAGGCAGAATCATGATAGATGGAGAAAAGATTGAAATTGTCGACAACTTCATCTTGCTTGAATCTATGATAATACCCTTGGCACTAGCAGTCAGGACATTGCCCTGGGAAAGTCTGCAGTTAGGGACCTCTCCAAATTATTGAGGAGTAATGATGTCGGTCTTTCAGATCACTTGCTTAGTATCTGAGAGCTGGACCGTGAATAAGGGTGACAGAAGAAGAATTGATGCCTTTGAGTTGTGGTTTTAGAGTATTGAACATCCCATGGATGGCCAAAAGAACAAACATATCTTTTTTTTCTTTTCTTCTCCCTGCCTCTTTTTAAACAGTCCTTCCGAAAGGACTATCCACTTAGCATTGTATCCAAAGATGAAATTTGTAGTTGAAAGGAGTTAGAAGTTAGCCTTCGTTACAGACTGGTTAATTTCAGGGTCGAAAATATGGAACGCTCCACAAATTTGCGTGTCGTCCTTGCGCAGGGGCCATGCTAATCTTCTCTGTATCATTCCAATTTTAGTATATGTGCTGCCGAAGCGAGCACCAAACAAACATATCTTGAAGAGAGTGCCGCCAGAGTGCTTTTTGGAGGCAAAGATGATGAGGTTTCACCTCATATATTTTGGACATGTTGCTAGCAGGGGCTCTTCTTGGAGAGGGGCATGATGCTTGGAAAGGTGGAGGGTCAATAAAGGAGAAGAAGACCCTCAACCAGGTGGATTGACATGGTGACTGCTGCAGTGAGCTCCAGTGTGTAGGAAGTGTGAGGACAGCACAGAATAGGGCAGGTTTCAGATCTGTTGTTCACAGAGTAGCTTAGGTCACACTCGATTAGATGGTATCTACAACAACATGGTAGGCTTGGGAGGTGGCCTAGTGGATACAGAGTTGTGCTGACAACCCGAAGGTGAGCAGTTTGAATCCACCAGCTGCTCCTCAGGAGAGAGATGGACAGTGCCTGTCTTTTGCTTCATATCCTCTGAAAACCCTCTGGGGGGGTGAACCATGATTCAGTTCTGACGTGATGACTGTGAGTTCAGTTTTGATGCTAGATCTTACCTTGTCCTCAACCCAGGGCGGGAACAGGACATTATTCTCCCATTTTACAGAGGAGGAAACTAAGGCCTAGAGAGGACAAATAATTTTCCCAAGGCCTCACAGTTTGTGAGTGGTTGAGCCATGAGACTCAAAACCAGGCAGCTGCACTCCTTCCTGTGTGTTGCTGAGATCTGGTCCTGTGTCCCCAGGACCCCAGTGGAGGTCTCCTGAGATCATAGTCATTGAGGGCAGCCCCCGGTGGGCTAAACTGGAGGGGCTTTGAGTGGGTTACCGTGGGGTGGGCTGCTCACTGCTCTGGGTACTTTCTTCTCAGCTTGATTAAGTTCCTGGAGGGTGGAGTCGGCTTCCTTGTCTCTCACTGTGCTTGGTAGATGAATAATGGCATGATGTTTTTAAAAACAACAACAAATCAAACCTATTGCTAGATCTGACTCATTTACAGAGGCTATGAATTTCGTGGGAGGAGATTGCTCGTATCTCTTATACAAAGCAGCTGGTGGATTCGAACCATCCACCTTTGGGTTGGCAGTGCAACTCTTTACCCACTAGGCCACCAGAATTTCTTCAGTATATGCTTTACATATGCTATATAATTGGTCCAGAACTCTATGCTAGGAATTATGGGCACAGGAATGGGAACAGGAGTGGACTCCACCTTAAGGGAACTTGCCCATTACTGGCGAAAGGGTATATATCTGGGAAATGTTAATGTAAAGTAGGGGTTAAGCCCGCCTGAGTCATCCTGAGAGGAGGAGGGCTGACAGAAGTGCTGTCTGAACTGAGTGAGGTGGGACTCCCCCGGTGGGGATCAGACTGGGGTGGAGGAAGGAGGGCCCCTGGGTAGAGGCTGTGGGAGCACATGGAGCTTGGCTGATGTCTCCCCCTTGTGGCGACTCTTAGGACTGCATCATCCTGTGTGTGCGGGAGGAGCCAGTGCTGTTCCTGAGGGCTGGGGAGGACTTCGAACCCTACACCCCACGAGACAAGAAGAACCTTCAGGACAACCTGCAGGGCCTTGGACCTGGGGTCCGAGCGGAGAGGTTGGAGCTGTCTATACGGCAGGAGGTGAGGGCGATGGTTGGCAGGTGGGTTAGAGGCAACACTCCTGTTCCCCGGGCGGCTGGCGGAGTATAAGGAACAGTGGACTAGGAGTCCCAGGACAGGTCCACAAGCTGTGAGGCCCGAGTGGGGCGTTCTAGACCTCTGCTGCCTGTTTTGAGCTTCCTCTGTCTCTCTCCCTCCACCGCTACAGAGGCTTGTCACGGTCACTGGGCCTGTTGACACACCACAGAGATAGAGGTCACAGTGGCCCAGAGTCCTAGTGGGCAGGACTGAGGCCTTACTGGTGTCTGTGGGCCCCTCCAGGTCTTGCATGCTCCTGTTTGATCTCCTCCAGCCCCCAGCTGCCTCAGCTGCCTGCCGTCCTGTAGTCATGAGCGTGGCTGATCCCCTCTGTTTTCTAGAAAGTACCCTTTCTGCCTGGTCTCAGCATGGACTTTGGTGGCCCAGGCATAGGTAGACTGCCCAGGGTCAGTGGTCACCTAATCCTGTTAGAACTCAGGGGTTCTCTGGCCATCAAGTCCCCTCCAGGCGGGACAGTAGTGTGTGTGGCCTCCCTGAGGCCTGGTCACTGTAGAGCTCAGCCAGGATGGTCATTGTGGGGACAGGGAGGACTCGGGTGGGTGTGTCATGGACCTCTGGCTTCACCTCTCCATGCAGATCCATGACTTTGCCCAGCTGAGTGAAAACACATACTATGTGTACCACAATACCGAGGACCTGCGTGGGGAGCCCCACGCCGTGGCCATCTGCAGAGAGGATGAGGTGTACGTGACCGAGGAAGTATACAGGCGGCCCCTCTTCCTGCAGCCCACATACAGGTACCCACAGCGATGGGCCCCAGCATGTAGCAGGGGTGCACCTGGCCGCTGCCTTCCTCCTGCGGGCAGCTCCCCATTTGCAACTGTGCCTCAATGTCCTGCTCCGCTCCTGGGCTGGCAGCTTTGCTTACTGCTGTGGGGCTCTGGGGTGCCCAGGCTGTGTCTCCAGCCTGATGGGCTGCCCCCCGTCTCCTGGCAGGTACCATCGCCTGCCGCTGCCAGAGCAAGGGGCCCCCCTGGAGGTCCAGTTTGATGCCTTTGTCAATGTCATCCGGGTAAGTGAGGGGTGAGTGGGGGTGGAGTGGGCAGGTAGCTTCTGAGGGTCAGTCTGTGTCTGGGCTCTGTGTCTGTGATGATGTTCAAGGTGGACATGACCTTTGGCATTCTTTAGAAGAGGGCTTCCTACTGTGTCATGCATGGGCTGTGGGTGTCGGGGTGTTTGTGTGTCTGTGTTGCTGTGAAGGGTGTCTGTGCACATTTGCTCGTATCTCTGTGGGACACTCGTGTATCTCTGAGTGCCCCTGTGTCTCTCTGGGTGTCTTTGTATCTCTGGAGTGCAGTGTCTCTGTGACATCTGACTGTGTCTCTGGGGAGGGGCTCATTGTATGTACACAGTGTCTCTGTGTTTTATATGTGCTATGTCCCTCAGTCTGGGATGTGTATCTGCATCTCTGTGTGTCTATGCGTCTTTATCTCTTCATGGAGGCGTCTGTTTGTACATCTCTAACAACAGAGCCCAGCACCAACCATTTAGGCATTTGGAGAATTGAAGGCCAGGATGTTAACTTGCTGCATGACCTTGGACAAGTTACCTAACCTCTCTGGACCTCAGTTTATCATATCTCATGTGGAGGCTTTTCAGCATGTGTTTGCTGCATTTGTTCATGTGCCAACATCTGTCTTAGTCCCCTCAGGCATGTGCCACCTTACTTAAGTTGGCATCTCGAGAGGTGTCCAGTGCAGACCTCGTCCCCTCACAGCGACTCTCCTTTCCAGAGTCCTTTGTGTGGCACTGCATTTAGTGCCACTAGGGGGTGGTGCTGTGCCCCCAGGACAGTTGGGACATTTGAGGCTAAGGGGTTTGGTGACTTGTCCACTTTCCCATCTGGTTTGGCTGATTTGGAGAAAGAGATGTTTGACCCCTTCTTGCTGTAGATTGTGGGGTGAGGGTGGATTTGCTGTTACCACCCTACCCTCCAACTTGGTCTTCAGCCAGGGTTTCAGGTTCTGCAGCATGACCTGATAATCATGTCTTTCCTCAGGAGACCCCCAGCTTGCTGCTGCTCCGAGATGCCCCTGGGCCTCCCCCAGCCCTCCTCTTCAGCTGCCAGACGGGTGTGGGCAGGACCAACCTGGGCATGGTCCTGGGCACCCTCGTCCTGCGTCACCGCAGTGGGTCCACCTCACAGCCTGAGTAAGTGACTGGGACCTTGTGCTCGAGGGGCTGGAGACACAGAAACGAGGGGGTGGGATATCAGGAGCTGGGGACCATGCTGGAAAGGAACACCTGACCAGCTGACCTGGAAAAAGCCATATGACCTTCATCGGCCTCAGTTTCTCCAGGGGGAGAAATGGCCCTTGCTTCTCCCAACCTCAGTTGGAGGGACGACTTGGAGCCTGTTGTCCAATGTCTCCACTGTCATGTGAGCGGGAAGGAGCAGGCAGAGTGGCCATGGCAGTGTTGTTGGGAGGTCTGACATTCCCTTTTCTTTGTTAGGACTAGCCCCCCACAGGCCAAGCCCTTACCCATGGAGCGGTTCCGGGTGATCCAGAACTTTGTCTGCATGGTGCCCCAGGGAAGGAAGATGGTAGAGGAGGTGAGCGAAGGCCGTGAAGTTGGGGACAGCTGTGCCAGATGAGGGGAGTGTGTCTGCCCCACAACCCTCCACCTTCTCCCTGCCCATCCCTCATCTTTTGCTTTCTCTCTGGCCCTGGACTAGGTGGACAGAGCCATCACAGCCTGTGCAGAGTTACATGACTTGAAGGATGCAGTCTTGGAAAACCAGAAGAAGCTGGATGGCGTCCGACTGGGGAGCCCAGAGCAGGTGAGGGCCTCTGCTCCAGCCCCACCCCGCTCCGCAGCCTGATTCCGTCAGGCTTGGTGACTGCTTTCTTCCAGACTGCTTTTTCTGGCTGTTGCTGCTGCTTTTCTCAGAAGAGCAGATTTCAGAGGAGGGAGGTGAGGGAGCTGGGCCACAGGAAGGATGGACGAGGAAGACAGAAGTCTCCTTTCCCTGGATAGGTCCCCTCAGCTGTGGGATAAATAGTATGGGGAAGGGGCTGCTGGCAGGGTCTTTTCTGTCCCAACTGGGCTTCGTGTAGCTGACACGCCCCAGACCTCCCTGGCTGGCCTGCGGATGAAGAAGCCCTGCACTTCTTTGGGAAGGCTGTGTTTGGGGGGTCCAGCTCGTGCTTCTGGAAGAATGACAGGTTCTCGGCTCTCCGCGGACCTCGTCCCTCTCACTCTGAGGGGAAGAGGTCGGCTTAACTCACGGCGCCTGCAGAATCTCCACTCTTCTCAGCTGTCGTCTTTTTTATTTTGTTTATTCTTTTTGATGATACTATGCACAGCAGAACACACAGCAGTTCAGCAATTTCTTCATATACAATTCTGTGACATTGATGAGTCTTCCAGCTGTGCAGCTTTTTCCACCCTCCTCCTTCGAGCTGCTTCCCCCCCCCACCCCCATTGGTGTAAACTTGCTGCCCCTTAGGGGTCCTGGTAGTTTAGTACCAAGGAGTTGTGCTGCCACCCTAAAGACACACAGTTCAAATCCACAAGCTGTTCTATGGGATCAAGATGACAGTCTCCTCCTGTGTGGTTTACAGCCTCTGAAAACCCACTGGAGGGTCAGCTGTGAGTCGGTTCTAACATAGTGTCATACAACAACCACAATAACAATACCACTGCCCACTAAATATCCTGTCCAGTCTTTGACGTTGATGTTGTGAATTTGATCCCATACAGAGAGTTCTTAAAGGTGCTCCAGGCTCAACACCGATAAGCTTCATTCGCCAAGCTCACACATTCTTTGGTTTTGAAAACTTCAGGGGTGATTTTTGGATTTGGAGTTCTAATTTAATAGAAGAAAGATTACACAGGGCAGTGATTTTGAGAACTCAGCCAATTTTCGTGGGTCCAGAAAATTTGAAATTCTGTTCTACATTTTCTGAGCTTATTTCTTCTGTACTTTTTTTTCCCCTAAGGAGAGAATTTAAAAGCAATACTCTAAATTAACTCTTATCTCACTGCATGGTTTAAAATCGGGAAAGGTGTGTGTTTCTCCATACCTATTCATTCTGTGTGCCGAGCAAATCATTAAAGAAGCTGGACTTCATGAAGAAGGATGCAGTTAGTATCGGGATGAGAGGAAGACTCCCCAGTTACCTGCATTATTCACATGGCACTACCCTGCTTGCTGAAAGTGAGCAAGACTTGAGGCGCTTGCTGCAGAGGATCAAGGACTGCAGCCTTCAATATGGATTACATCTCAACATCAAGGAAACAAGTTCTCACCACTGGGCCAACAAGCAACGTCATGATAGATGGACTGAAGACTGAAATTGTCAACAATTTCATCTTGCTTGGCTCTATTATCAACACCCTTGGTACTGGAAGTCAGGAGATCTGGAGACATATAGCATTGGGGAAATCCGCTGTCAGGGACCTCTCTTAAGTCCTAAAGAGCTGCAGTTGTCAGTTTAAGATGATGGTGCACCTGATTCAAACCTTAATAGTCTTTCCACTCACCTGCTGTGCATCTGAGAGTTGGGCAGTGAGTAAAGATGACAGAAGAACAGTGCCTTTGAGTTGTGGTGTTGGAGAAGCGTCCTGAATACCCCATGGATTGTAAAAATAGATATGGCCTGGAGAAAGTACAGCCAGAGTGCTCCTTGGAGGCAAGAATGGAGAGCTTCATGTCACATGCTTTGAGCATGTTGTTAGGAAAGGCTGTTACTTGGAGAGACATCATGCTTGGAAAGGTGGGAGGATCAGTGAAGAAAAGGAAGACCAATGAGATGGATTGATACAGGGGCTGTGGCGATGGCTCAGGCATGTCAGGATTGAGAAGGATGGAGCAGCAGAGGACAGGGTTCGCGTCTTGTTTATAGGATTGCTATGAGTCATACTCAGCTTGATGGCTCTTAACAACATCAGACATTTCCATCAAGTTAGAACTGATTCATAGATGACACTTCAGCTGGTTTTCAGAGACAGTCAATGCCGTGAGATGAAGTTGCTCATCTTTCTGAGTGCTGGTAGGTTCAAACTGCCAGAGACGCGCCTCCTGTGGGTGCGCAGCACTTACCTATGCTCTAGGCCGCCACATAGAGAAAACCAGAGATGAGGGAAGGAACAGAATCGCCAGACAGCGCTGCTGACCAGAAACTGGCTGCAACTTCTCATGCTTAGATTCTGTGTCGACTGTCCGAGCACACGCTGTGCATCCTGCTTCAACTTACAGCATCAGCCTTTTCTACATCAATACTGGTTTTTGTTCTTAAGGTTTTTGATGGCAGTGTAACTTAAGCCCATGAGGTTCGACCATAGACCTGATCAGTTAAGAGCACGGGTTCCACACACAGTTGCGTAAGATTCTAGCCTCGGCTCCCTCTTGGTTATATGGACCATGCCTCAGTTTCACCATTAGTAAAATGGGGACCACTAATAGAAGAGTATTGAACATACCATGGACGGCCTAGAAAATGATCAGGTCTGACCTGGAAAGGGTGAAATGAGCTGCTCCGTGGAAGCAAGAATTTTGAAGCTCCGTCTCACATACTTTGGGCATGTTGCCAGAAGAGACCAGTCCTTAGAGAAGGACCTCATGCTTGTAAGGGTGGCGGGACAGCGCAGTAGAGGAAGACCCCAGATGAGATGGATTGACAGAGAACTGGGGTTATGCGGGCAGGTGTGTTAGAGACAGTGAGACTGGCTCATGACAGGACAGGCTTCAGAGCTGTTGTGCAGAGGGTCGCTGCAAGTCACAGGCAGCTCAGTGGCATATACAACAGCAATAGTAACTGCTTGAGAGGATTGCCATGGGGTTTACATGCCATGAAATAGACAGTGCACTACTTCATGACTTAAAACAGATCTTGGTCCGGAGCAAGTGTCTCTGAATGGCACCTTCCACAATTTATTCAATGTTCCCCTATTTTTAGACAATTGAGCAGCTTCCAGTTCCTCACCAGTGTAGGGTTGACACACTAGCTCGCTATGTGTTTTGTAAATAAAGTTTTATAAATAAGAGGAGCTCTTGTGGCCTAGTGGTGAGGAGTTGTGCTGCTAGTCCAGAGGTGTGCAGTTCAAACCCAGCTTTATTGCAGCACAGCCTGGCCTGCTTGCTTATGAATTGTTGCTGGCTGCTTTCATGCTACAGCTGCAGAGCGGGGTGGTTGGTGTAGAGACCACGTAGCCCTCAAACCTAGAACATTTACTCTCTGGCCTTTGATAGAATCTCGGGTCTAGATTCTTCAAGGTAGAATGAAACTTCCCCAGAGGACGTGACGTGCTCATCTTGGTTGCTTCCAGAAGAGCCGACCCAATAGGAGAACCTGACATTATGTAGCTGAGAGAGGTTGTTTGGAAAAATCTTGGACAGCCGCCTGCCCAGAGGAATTCGGCTGTGCCATTGGCTGTGTGACTCAGTTTCTTCCCTTTTTCTTGAGGGAGGGGTTGCAGTTTGAAGCCTCTGCTCTCTCACCTGTGAGGGCCCCAGCTCTGAGGTGGTGGTGGTGCTGGGCAAAGCCCTTGGGGAGGTGTGTCCCTTCAGGAACACAGGGGCTGGAGGCAGGAGTCTGCAAACTGCTTATTACAGCTTAACCGTAAACAGTGGAGTTCAGTTAGAAGCTTGGAAGACTCAGCTTGGCAGAACCCAGCTTGCAGAGTTGTAAAGTGAGGGATACGTGGTCTTCTGGGGAGTTCTGAGGCTTAGCTCCCAGCCTGCTAGAGTCAGGGACTGGGGCCTGGGCCCCCCATCTTCAACGCCCTGCTCTTCCATTTCCCCCACTTCAGGAAGGCAGCAGCCAGCACAGTCTCCGGCAGAGGACGCTGCGGAGCCTGGAGCGCTATTTTTACCTGATCCTGTTTAACTACTATCTCCATGAGCAGGTCAGGCCCAGAATGGATAAGTGGGATAGTCCCCCTTCTCCTCTGTCCCCGCGGCAAAGCTGGGAAAATGCGGGTCCCTAAGGGAAGGGGTGTGGGTGACCAGAGGTGCAGATAGAAGGGTGTCTGTGAGCTTCCTCATTAAGGGAGGCCTTCCTATCTCCCTTGAGCCTTGGCCGGGGTTTTAGGGCCTGGAACATTCCAGCTCCCGCTGCCCAGGCCCTTTCCTGCCTGCTCTTCTCCCTGCCTGGGGTCTCGGTGGAATGTCGCCAGGCTCCCCACCCCCGTGGCAGGGGAGGCTTAGGACGACCCTGTACCCCTGAACTCCACGTCTCTCTGGCCGCGGGCTGCAGTACCTGCTGGCCTTTGCCCTCAGTTTCAGCCGCTGGCTCTGTGCCCACCCGGAGCTGTACCGCCTGCCCCTGACGCTGAGCAGAGCGGAGCCTGTGGCCCCCTCAGACCTCATCGCCAAGGGCACCCTGGTGAGTGGCCAGTTGTTCTGGGGGTGTGGAGCGGGCGTGGCTCAATGGACCCTTGATGCGGTGTCTCTTTGGGTTAAACATTGCCCTTCCTGAGCCGGAGAGGGGATGCCTGTGAGCTCTGCTCCTCCTGTGAAGGAAGCAGAGTTGTTCTCCAGTCTCCAGCGCCTTTTACTGCCTTGACTTTTCCTCTGGCACCTTTTCCTGAGTCTCAAGCTGCGAGCTTTGAGCAGGGAGTAGTGGACTGGTGTCTGGAATTTCACCACCAGCTGCTCATGTCAGGCTCGACTTCCTCAGCTGCAGAGTAGGCACTGTTATTCTCACCAGGGTGCTGGTGAGGTGCCAGTTGTGCAGAAGTGCTTGGTTAACTGCCATATGTCCCTCTCGGCTCTGTCCAGAGCTGAGTGGCCTCGGGCTGGGCTCCGGACCTCTCAGTGAATCTCCTTGGCTTCCCTGGGCTCCACACTTGGTGCTCTCCTGCAGGAAGTGGATGATCTTGTCTCCCCGGATGCACTCAGCACCATCAGAGAAATGGATGTGGCCAACTTTCGGCGGGTACCCCGTGTGCCCATCTATGGCACGGCCCAACCCAGCACCAAGGTGACCTCTCTGGGGGCCTGGGTGCACTTGCTGGGGGAAGGGAGTGCTGGCCGAGCCCTGTGTCTTATGGGTCACCGTCCTCTTTCCCCAGGCGCTGGGCAGCCTCCTGGCTTACCTGACCGATGCCAAGAGGAAGCTGCGGCAGGTCATGTGGGTTAGCCTGAGGGAGGAGCCTGTGCTGGAGTGTGATGGACAGACACACAGCCTGCGGGGGCCCGACATCTCTGTGGACCCTGACCAGCTGGAGGTGAGGCCTCCTGCCTGTGAGGACCCCTTCTTTCAGAGACCTCCTGGGGAGTCAGCCTGGGGGATCTTTAGACGGTCACATGCTCCTGTTGTAGGTTAGGGAAACTGAGGCCCGAGGGAGTAGCTGATTTGAGGAACACTTGGCCCAGGTGTGGTTATGACCTCTGAGGCTCAGGGAGGGGCTAGGCTGGGCTGGAAGCCAGAGCTGATCTGGCCACCACAGACTGGCTTTTCAGGGGTGACCAGAGGCTGCTTTAGTTGCCTGAGTTCTCCCCCACTTCCTACTCTCCCCTAGAACCTGGAGACTCAGCTGAAAGTCCACCTGAGTGTACCTCCTCAGGGCCCGGAGGGCTCTGGGACCCCCCAGTTCCAGACATGCCTCACCATGCAGGAGGTTTTCAGCCAGCACCGTGGGACGTGTCCTGGCCTCACCTACCGCCGCATCCCCATCCCAGACTTCTGCGCCCCCCGAGAGGAGGTGAGGGGCGGGAGGTAGAGGAGATTCCCCACTTCTGACTTCTGGCCTGGTCCTTGGTTGTGGGCGTGGGTCAGGGAGGAAGTGACTGTTCCAGGGTCACTTGCAGGGGCTCGAGTTTGTATTGTTGGTGCTGTGTGTGTGCGCGCGTGCGTGCGTCTGTGTGTGTGAGATGTAGGTGTGCAGTGGTGGGTGGGCATGTCTGGCATTTGTAGGATGTGTGTAGGAATGTTTATGGAGAGAGAGAGTGTGTGTGTGAGAGAGATGTAGGTATACAGTGGCAGGTATGCATGTCTGACATTTATAGTGTGTGTGCCTTTGTAGAAGGAATGTGTATGGAGTGTGTGTGTGGTGCTTCAGTAGAGTGATCACGTATTGTGGTTGTTACTGATTAATTCTTCTGGAGAGGTGTTGTGTGTATGTTGGCGTGATTGATACTGTAGAGGTATCCTTTGGGGAGGGGGGTGTGGTGTGTTTTGATGCAGTTACTATATATGATCATTACTGGTTAATAATGTAGACGTGTCTTTTAGGGAGGAGGGTGTATGAGAGAGAGGTAAGTATGTGATGGTGGGTGGGCCTGTCTGTGTTGTTTGTATGTGTGTAAGGCATGTTTCAGTTGCGTTGCCACATGTGTGAGACCAGGTATATCTGGTCTTTACTGATAGGGTGGAGTGTCTTTTGGAGAAGGGTGTGTGGGTGTGTGGAGAACACATCTGCAGGTTTGTGATGTGTGTGTCTGTGGGCCTTCTTGTAGTCAGTGTGGTGTGTGTACTCGGAGTCCCTGGGTGATCCAGTCACTGACTGGAGGGTTGGCAGTTAGAATCCACCTAGAGACGTGGGAGGAAAGGCCTGGCCTCTGCTTCTGCACATGAGCCTTGTAAGCCCTGTGGATCCTCATTCTACTCAGACATGTGGGGTCAGGGTTGGGATGTGCCTGATGGCAGCTGAGACATCTGTGTGTGTGTGCATGGAGTGTGTGCTGTGTGGGTGGATGTTTACTCGTATTTGGACGGTGTGCTTGGGGTGTGTGTTTGGGTGGGGTGTGGGGGTTGGTGGAGGGTGTCTGGTGTGTAATGTGTGGGGTCCTGACTGGTCCTTGCATTTCCCGCTGCACGTTGCCCTGTGAGCCTCTTAGCCCCTGGTGTGCTGCCCCCTGGTGGCCGAATGCTGTGATGTTCAAAAGTCCACCTCGTGCCTTCGGGTGGCAGCTGGGTTGGGTCCAGCCCTGGTGGGAGGCAGGACTAGGGGGCTGTGCTTTAGGGGGGCTCTGTGTTGGGTCCAGTCCAGCCTGGGGAAGCAGAACTCGGGAGTGGAACATGTGGCCTGCTCTGGTGGGCACTGTGAACCCCGGGTACATTTCTTTCCGCATTCATGCTAGTTCTGACCTGGGAGGGGTGTGTATCCGGGGTCACACCTAGGCAGCTCCGGATGCCATCTGGGTGGATGGCCACATGGGGCAGTGTCAGGGCCCTTTCCCCCAGGCTCAGCCCTCGGTCTCCCCTCTCAGGACTTTGACCGTCTGCTTGAGGCCCTGCGGACAGCTCTCGCCAAGGACCCGGGCACTGGTTTCGTGTTCAGCTGCCTCAGCGGCCAGGGCCGGACCACGACTGCCATGGTGGTGGCTGTGCTGGCCCTGTGGCACATCCGGGTGGGTGTGGCTTCGTGGGACGGGGCTCCATCACACTGAGCATATAGGGGGGCTCCTGGCGGTGGGGGCGGGGTGAGTCCAGGTGGGATGCCTGTCTTAGTAGCTGTCCCACCCGGCAGGGCTTTCCTGAGGTGACTGAGGACGAGCTTGTAAGTGTGCCTGACGCCAAGTTCACCAAGGGCGAGTTCGAGGTAAGTGTGCCGCGGGCGGTCAGGTGTGGTGTTCATGGCCAGGTGCACAGAGATGGATGTCTGTGTCCTCTGCAGGCTGCACAGGCAGGTGGTCGGCCGACTGTAGGGTTGGGTTATGGTATTTATTCTGAGGACAGGGGCCCTGTGAAGTAACCACACTTATATGTTTGCTTTAATATGATGAAGGGCTAAGGAGAAGGTGGGGAGACTAGTTAGAGGCTCGCCGCATCAGCCAACAGCACCTAACAACAGTCAGCTGAGGAGAGGGTACCAGAGGACAAATGGAGGAGTAGACTCAGAAGGGCAGTGGAGAGCCTGACCTGCCAAGGCTGCCTCCCCAGCCAGCCTGGCCTCTGCTCTGGGTTCCTTTGTGTGGGGTGTGAGCCTGGTTTCTGAGGCTGGTCTCCCTTAACCACTGCCCTGATTCTATCTACTCATCACACCCTCCCTGTCCACTCTGGCCCCAGGTAGTGCTGAAGGTGGTGCAGCTGCTGCCCGACGGTCACAACATGAAGAAGGAGGTGGACGCAGCACTGGACACGGTCAGTGAGACCATGACGCCCATGCACTACCATCTGCGGGAAATCATTATTTGCACCTACCGTCAGGTGAGCCCTCGACCACTGCTTCACCTTCATGAAGTGGAGGTGCGGTAATCCCCAATAGAAACTCCCTGCGCTCTGAACCACACAATCCAGGAATGCTGGAGGGACATGCACTGAAGATCAAAGAATTTAACCACTTTCGTGTCCTTGGACCAGTCAGGGATCAGGAATGTGGGTGCCCAGGATGGACTCCCTGTGATGCCGGCCACTAGCCCCTGCTTTCTGGCTGCGGCAGGGGTCGGGTGGGACACCTGAGGCCTTGAGGATGGCTGGGAGTATTCTGATAGCTGACATGACCAAGCTGGCCCATCAGTCCAGGATGTAGGCTGCCTATGCTGTCAGGGCTGAATCAAGATGGACTTGGTCTCCTGAGTTAAATCATTGTTGTTGAGTAACTTACTCAGTTCACAAGGTCTGATAATTTCCACGGTAGTCCACATTTCATGTTAAAATTGATTTTCAGCCTATTTAGGGGGGAAAAAAATCTGGGAGTCTTGGCCTGGACACCTGTCCTCAGCTGTCCGTGGTCCCCTGTATGTCCGCTGTGTGTCGCACTGAGCCTGAGTCCATGCTCACGCTCGTGCTCAGCCCATCTTCCATTGGCAGAATATGTGCTTGTCAAATAACTGATCATAACTGGCCAGTGTGCACTTGCTGTGGGGCTGATTGTCATTAGAGTGAACATGACTGGCTGGCTGAAGGCTGGGTCTGGTGGTGTCTAGATTTAGTGGTCAGCTGGGAAGAGAGTTTAGGTAGATGCCACCTGTGAGAAGAGGAAGGTGCTTAAGAAGCTTCAGAAGATGGACTTTTATTTCCTAGTTATTATTTTTTATTAACCCTGCTTGTTGAAACTGAGGAGGACCTAAAACGCTTGCTGCTGAGGGTCAGGGACTGCAGCCTTCAGTATGGATTGAGGCTCAATGTCAAGAAGACAAAGATTCTCAACACTGGACCAATTGGCAGCATCAGGATGGATGGTGAAGAGATTGAGATTGTTCACAGCTTTAGTTTGCTTGGCTCCACAATCAACACTCTTGGCACAAGCAGCCAGGAAATTAAAAGACATATTGCCATGGGAAAGTCTGCTGTTAGGGACCTCTCTAAAGTACTCAAGAGCAACAGTGTGTTTCTGGAGACAAAGGTGTGTCTGGTACAGGCCATGATCTTTGCAATCACTTGTTATGCATCAGAGAGCTGGACAATGACCAAGGAGGATAGAAGGAGAATTGATGCTTTTGAGCTTTGGTGTTGGAGAAGAGTGCTGAAGGTGCCATGGACTGCTAAGAAAACAAACAGATTCATCCTGGAGAGGTTTAAACTGGGCTGCTCCTTGGAGGCAAGGATTCTGAGGCTTCGTCTGACATACTTCGATCATGTTGTAAGGAGAGACCGGTCCTTGGAGAAGGACATCATGCTTGGGAAGGTGGAGGGCAGGCGCAGGAGGGGAAGGCCCTCTGGGAGATGGATTGATTCAGTGATTGGGGTAGTCGGGATGAGTGTGTCGGAGGCAATGAGATTGGCACAGGATAGAGCAGAGTTTAGAGCTGTTGTACATAGGGTCGCTGTGAGGCGCAAGCTACTCAACGGCACATAACAACAACAAAGTATATGCAGCATGCAGAAAGTTAAGCATTTCTTCAACTTAAAGAAAGGAATCACTGTTATAATGGAAACATTTCTTTAAAAGATTTTCTTTGGAAAATCAACCAGACTTGTACATAGAAAATAATATACTTAAATGTTGGGATTACATACTAAATATATCAGTTTAAAAATTATTCTTTAAAAGAATTGTCATTTTAAAAAAAGAGGGGGAAGAGATCGAAGGGAACCATTTGAAGTGATAATAATTTGGTATTTTGTGTTATAACATTCTATTTTCAGACAGATCAGTCAGTCTTCTTCTAGCTAAAGGAATGGGAAATTACCATTCAGCACAGCACCCAAAACAGCTTAAAACAACAAATACAACTCCTGAGTATAGTTTTCCATGGCTACATATTTAACAAAACTAATGATATCAAACAAGTATAATATTGAAAGAAAACATCAGGCTTAATACCTTATAAAATATATACAGACTTGAATGTTTCTTAAAGATAGGTTTCAAGTCATAACTGAATTGTAAATGTAATCAAATACTCAGTTATACTGAAAAGATCTAATGGGTTAAAAAAATGTAAACCATAAAAGAGAAGAAGTTGTTTTAAAATATACAACAAAATTCTAAAGACTAAGCTTAGATTTTGATTTTAAAAAAGTATGTTATTTACAATTTTAAAATTTCATGTTTGTTCCTGTTACATGATTTTCATCATTAGGACAACATAAGAGAAGAAAAAGCTCTCCTTTCCCACTTACCAGGCAGGTGGCGAGACTAGTAGAATACAGTCCACCTAAAATATGGAAGGCCAACAACTTTTGTTAGTGGAGTCATAAAGCAGACTTCATCAAAACTGTATCCTAGTAAGTCCGCACTTTCACTTGGAGACATCAATGCAGGGACCCAGTTTCCTTTTCCAAAAAGGAAGCATCTGAATAGCAGTTATCTGAAGAGTAGTTGATAGCATTTAATGAGATCAGTCGCCTATGTGAATACACTTCCATGTTGTTATTATTATTAAGACAAGCACTCAGTGGGTGCAAGTCCACAGCATGGTCCACAACTGGACCTTCCTTTCAGATTTATAAACCTCAAACAGGAGTTCTTAACACAAGAACCAATGTTTAAAACATAAAATCCTTCATTGGAGTGCACGGCTCAGTTGATTTTCAAAAGATATTTACAAAATGCTTCAATACTGGTGATGATGTAGTGATGTTAAAGCTACCAAAACTTTGCGGTGATCACAAAGGCTTTTCCTTTCAGATCACAGTCCAGTCATTTGCCTCATGAGAACACTGTGGAGACCTCCAGACATATTCCTTAATCTTTCAAACTGGATGACATCTTCCCTCTATGTTTTCCGTTTATCTTAATCTCCAACCATCTTCTTGATGTGTCACAATTTGCTCTTCAGCTGCTTGCAGTAATTCCTCTTGTTTTTGTAGTCGGAAGATCGTTTAACTTGCTTCAGTCTGTTGTATTCAGCAGCAGCACCGGCAGCAGCCATGTATTCCTCACTTTCTTGTCTATAGTCATCTAATACTTTATCCAGACGTGAGAGTTCTTTACTGACCTCGTCAACTTCTGCTTGTAAGCTCTTGTATTCCTGGAGGCCAGTGTCAGAACTTTTCTTGTAAAGATGTTTTTGCTGATCCGAAGTGATAGGTGGATTTTCCCTGACACAGTCCTCCTCCAGCTCATTGCACGACAGACTGCCCTTTGCCACCTGTCATGTAGCCTGTTTCATAGTGGTCCTGCTGTGTTCTCCTTGACTTCCCTGCCCTTCCCTTCGTGGGGGCCCACTTTGAAGGGGTGTGTATGTCAGCGCTGCTGCTGTAACGAGGCTGTCTGCAGTTAACCACAGGTGAAGTCAGGGGAAGCTCCTGAGCCGCCTCAGGCACCGGTGTTGATTTGAAGGAATAATCTGGGTAGGATCTTTTGTCATTTATTTTACCAGTGGAGGAGTAAGCCATGGAACTGTCAACGCTGTCCACATAGTCAGATGGTGGCAGCGGCATGGATGGTGTGCCTGCAGAAACATTTGTTTTTCTCCTTTTTAAAAAAAAATTAATTTTAATGAAAGTTTACAGAGACTTAAGAGTTTCCAGTCATTAACTGTTACAGTTTTCTCTCTGCCCACCCCCGCCCTCCAATTCACTCTTCTCCTTGAAAAGAAAAACTCTTTCATTGTTATGCAGTCCCTCCCCCCAAGTCCACTCTACTATGCAGCTTTCATTCTGGACTTCTGTAATGACAAGAATACCCACTCATATGTCCCTTTTAAATAGTCCTCTCCCTCATCTGTTTCAATGCAGTATACATCATTCCTCCCCTCCTTTTCTGTGTTCCCTCAACCCTGATGTCAGTCCCATTTTACAACAGTGGCCTTATGCAATATTTGCCCTTTTGTGACTGAGATATTTCACTCAGCATAATGTCCTCAAGGATTATTTATTTGCATAATATTTCATGAGTTCCTTGTTTTTCAATGCTGCATAGTATTCCATTGTGTGAATATACCAGATCTTCTCTATCTATCCATTTGTTTGTTGATGGGCACTTAGGTTGTTTCCAGCTCTTTGCTATTGCGAATAAAGCCACAATAAACATGGATGTGTGTATATATGCTTGGGTGGCAGTTATGGTTTCTTTAGGGTAAATTCCCAGTAGTGGAATTGCTGGGTCAAATGGTATTTCTGTTTGCAACTCTTTGAGAAAGTGCCATACAGCCGTCCATAGTGGTTGCACCATTTTACACTCCCACTAATAGTGAATAAGGGTTCCAGTTTGTCTGCAACCTTGCCAGCATTTGTTGCTTGCTGTTCTGTTAAATTTTGCTATTCTGACTGGGGTGAGATGATACCTCATAGTTGTGATTTGCATGTCTCTTAGAGCTAGGCATTTTGAACATTTCTTCATGTGTTTGTTTGCCATCTGAATGTCTTCTTTGGTGAAGTGTCTGTTCATATCCTGTGCCCATTTTTCAGTTGGGTTATTTACTTTAATCTTGCTGTAGTGCTCAAGTATTTTATAAATTCTAGATATAAGCCCTTTATCAGACATGTCATTACCAAATATTTTTTTCTCAATCTGAGGCTTCCCTTTTTACCCCATTGGAGAAATTTTTGGATGAGCATAGGAATTTAATTGGCAGAAGGTCCCATTCATCTATTTTATCTTCGTATGCAGAAATGTTTTTAACCTCTTGAGGATCCACCACACAGTCGTAATACAAATACTGATCAATGTAGAGGCCAGAGACTGCAGGAGCATGAAATTGGTTGCAGAGAGTGTAGATTTGGGAACCGTCCATAGATCTAGAAGACTGGGCTGTTGGGTTGACGCCCATTATGTAGTCGATTGTGGCAATAAACACCGTGACGCCCAGGATGGCACT